TTGAAAATTTTGAAGTTGAGATTGTTTTGCGTGAACAAGGTAGAACCTTAGCCATTATTTCTGCTCAACCGGCATTGATTGAGGAGATTAAAGAGAAACAGCAACATGATGACTTTTTGAAAAGGTCATTGATGAACGGGAGTCCAAACCGAGGCCGGACTTTAAATTTGAGAACAATATGTTGAAATTCCAGGGAAGGTTGTGTGTACCGAATGATTCTGAACTGAAAAGATGAATTCTGCAAGAGGGCCACAATTCGAAACTGTCTATCCATCCAGGAAATATGAAAATGTACCAAGACTTGAAACTGAATTTCTGGTGGCCGGGAATGAAGAAAGAGATTGCTGACTTTGTATCGAAATGTCTTCATTGCCAACAAGTTAAAGCTGAACATCAACGACCCGCAGGCTTACTGCAGCCCTTACCGATACCGGAGTGGAAATGTGAACATATCACTATGGATTTCATTGTCAGTTTACCTCGCTCTAGTAAAGGTATGGACTCAATTTGGGTTATTGTTGATAGATTGACTAAATCAACTCACTTCTTACCTGTCAAAACAATCTATAATACGGACAAATTGGCTATAATTTATATTGACGAGATTGTTAGATTGCATGGAGTGCCTGTATCTATTGTTTCTGACAGGGAGTCGAAGTTTACATCGAGATTTTAGCAAAGTCTGCAAACTGCATTGGGTACTGAAATGAGACTGAGTAGTGCATATCATCCTCAGATAGATGGTCAGTCAGAAAGAACCATTCAGACTCTAGAAGATTTACTGCGGAAGTGTGTTCTTGATTTCTAAGAAAATTGGAAAAGCCATTTACCTTTAGCTGAGTTTGCCTACAACAACAATTTTCACTCGAGCATTGGTATGGCGCCTTTCGAGGCTTTGTATGGCAGAAAATGTCGATCTCCTATTTGCTGGGAAGAAGTTGGAGATGGGCTTTTGCTTGGGCTCGAGATTGTACAAGAAACCACTGAAAAAGTGAAACTGATTCAACAAAGATTGAAAACCGCACAAAGCCGACAGAAAAGTTATGCGGATGTCCAAAGGCGAGATAGGGAATATGAAGTGGGTGATCTTGTTTTCGTTAAAGTGACACCGATGAAAGGCCAGGCTCGCTTTGGAGTCAAGGGTAAGCTAGCACCGAGATATGTTGGGCCGTATGAAATCATTGAAAAGATTAATCCAGTGGCGTATCAAGTAGCGCTTTCTCCTGAAATGGAGCATATGCATAATTGTAGACACCCCATTTTTGACCATCCTTAAGACTTGGACGTGATCGTTTTAACACTCGATGATCATCTATGCTCGTGTTTGTTTTGAGTTCCCAAAGGTCTCGGCTACGCGCCTTGCCTTAGGATCTCTCAACTTGACTATTTTGTGCTTGGTTGTGGACCAAGGACTTGTGGTTTTTGCACCTGAGGGTAGGAAGCGACTTGTTGGCCATCCCCTTAACCCACGGGCCATGGCCTGAGGCTACTGGCCTTGTTTTCTTGCTATCGGCTAAGAGTGTTGGCCGATCAGCACTTTAGTTGGTCAGCCGGCCATTGTTTTGGTCGATCGGCCACTTTTTCTGGCTGAGGCCTTTTCTTTGCCTTTTTCAGGCATTGTGCATGCCAGCTATGCCAGCTGGTGAGCACAGACTCTGCCCTCCATACGCGTGTATGGAGGGATTTGAACCAACACTTAGCTTCTCTTGGAAGCTTTGAATTGGACTTTCTATAAGAGGAGAGCCTCCCCTCCATTTCTGGGGGTTCAGCCAACTGATATAGAATATATATATATATACCACTCTCTCTCTATATCTCCTCTCTCTCTATAGTTGTGTGTGTAATAGTGTTCTAAAAGGTGTTCTTGTTCATATTTTTGCACTAAAACACCTAGTGGTACACTATTCCTTAGTTACTGAAGTGCTAAGGAGTTGATTTCCAGAGTTTTTGAGTTGGTTTTGATCAGAAGGAGGTGCTGGAGTTGGTGTTCTTGAAGTGTTCTTCTAGGGTGAGAAACTACTCTTTTATTCTCCATTTTTGCTTAAGCTTTTAGCAATACTTGCATACTGTTTTAAGCTTAGTGTCCAACTGAAAAGATTTCTGTTTTTATATGTTTAATATGTTTGTTTAAGGTTACTTTTGGGTTGGGGGTTGTCTACCCCCTCTTAGGCCTTGTTTGGCCTTATTTTGTAACCTTCTTTTTGAGCTTTGAAACCTTTTTGTTTTGACCTTCTCACCACTAAAATGCAGAGGATTTTCAGTGGTGGAGAAGTGGTTTTGAGGTCTTGAATAGGGGAGGGACCCCCCCTTTGTGTCTCATTTGCTTGCATTGTTGGCTCACCATAGTAGCATGTTTGCTTAGCATGTTTTGGCCCCATTTTAGCAAGTGTTTGGCGTTATCTTGGCATGATATACCTCTATTTTAAGCTGGTTTGTTGGTCTCTTACATGCACCATGTACTTGCCTGGTAATCCTTTCTATTGCCTTAACATGTATCTTGCATTTGGACCATCATGCTTGCATATTTCGACTCAACTCCAGGGAACATTTAGTCATGTTTCACCATGTTTAAGCTCTGTTTGGTGTCGATTTGATCATATATGCATTGCTTCGTATAGTCTTAGTTCATCCTAGCTTGTGCACCGAGTTGCTAGCATGCATTGTTTTGACTATTCCTGTGATTTGGCATCATTTGAAATCACATTTCAGTCCATGTAGTGTAGCCACACACTTATGTTTGCTTTTATTTACTGCTTTTTCTTTACAATTATTTATGAAAAAAATATTATTGTAGTTAGATAGCATAAAAATATTTGTGATTTGATTTGCTTTGATTTTTTTCTAATTTGATTTTTAAAGTACCAATTATTGATAATGATTAGATTGTATTTTGAAAAAAAAATTTGTAATTGATTTTTTTAACTCAATGTGTTTTTTGAAAAAAAAAAATTGTAAGTGATTGTAGTTTGTTCAGTGACTCTAAATAATCTCAATTTGAATTTCTAAATTTTTTATTAAAAAAAAACTCAGCATTTATTGATTTGGTCAAAATCTCCTGATCAACATTTATTAACTTTTTTCAATCCACATGTCTTTCCACATGCCTGTATTTATTGATTTGGTCAAAATTCCTTGATCAGCATTTAAAATCCCCTCATACAAATAATTACAGATACAATCTGTGTATAGTTACTACAGTACCGTTTTCAACTTCTCTCATACACTATGATTAGTGATAAGATTGTTAAATTATTTTTATAAAAAATCTTAAAAAAAACATAATTTATATATAAAAAAAATCTAAAACAAATATAAATATTTATAATTATCTTGTGCATAGCACGGGTGATAGGCTAGTATTTTATTAATAAGAAATAATTTGTTGAAAAGTCAAATTTATAGGAGAGTATAAAACATTAAGTTCAGTAGATAAATTTGTTGGTGAGAAATCCACCCAAATAATTTGGTGAAAAGTCCATTTATTATTTTGAAGAATATTTCATTTTCAATTTATCCGTTAATTTATCTACAAAAAATCTAATCATCTTTTTAAACACAAAAAATTTAATAGTCAAAATTTAAAATAGCCTAAGTCAACTGCCATGCAGGATAGCTTTAGCCAAAACATGGGCTGGTTCTACTCCTAGCCGACCAACCTCACATATCTAAAAGTTTTTAGCCTTTTTTTTAAGTTAAAATTCACAAAATGATAAAATAAATTAAAATAATTAATAAAATAAAATATCATATTAAATTCACAATTATTTCACTTTTTCTCTCACAAATATCATATCCAACTACAAAAAAATCTAATCATTTTTCCAAACACAAAAATTTTACCTTACTAAAATAGTCAAAAACTAAAATAACCTACTAAAATAGCTAACTTTTCAAAAAAAAAAATTATATTTAAGAAGATAATTGGAATTATTATTATTATTATTATTATTTTTTGGAATTATTATTATTATTATTTTTTTTTATTATTATTATTATTATTATTATTTTTGTAGCCTTTGCCTAACAAGGCCATTGACTAGTAAGTTACAGAAGGTGGTTTTATGGTTTTATCAATTAAAATAAAAATACCTAATACCCTACTACCCTCATCTCATTCCTTCTTCACCTCCTGTTCTTAGGAGTGTAAATTTAGCCCGGCCCAACTCATGTCAGGCCTCATGGGCTCCCGCCAAAGGCTGTAAATTTGTGCCTGAGATTCTCAGGAAAAAAAACAGAAAAAAAGAAGAAGAAAGGGAAGTGCATCAATGATTTGCCGCCTAAGATATGCAGGATATTGGCAACAAAAAGCTTCATTTCTCAGAAACAAGAACAGAACAGAATTATAAAATTCAAACAATATTCACGATGAACATATACTAGCAGATCTTACGTTTAAATAACGTCATTTCTACATTTTTATCCGGAGACCCTTCAAGAGGAAATGCAAAAGCATCCTAATCCCTATTATACAAGTCTTCAACTCGTTTAACTTTATTAATACATTAAATCTTCTTTGTGATTATTATTCAGCTATATCTTTAATTTAATATATTTCATTTACTCATAAATACTTTGGCATCCACCAATGGTAAAGACAACGTAGGTTTTTGATTGGTTACAGCCTTCGCAAATGCATCATTCATCACCTCGCCAAAGTTTTGAATTACATTCTTACTTAGAAACTCAATAAGCTCGAACGGAAGTAAAATTAATCATATTAGAAATGAGACATCGTTGATGTTACAAAACTATTTCATTGCATAAGCCATAAAGAAATTTATCGAGCAGTGAATAAAATCAATTTAACATATCAAAAATGACACATCCTTGATGTCACAAACATTTCATTGCACAAGGCATAAATAAATTGACAACTGTTGAAACTATTACACCAAGAGAGGGGAAAAACAATCTTAACTAGAAGGAAGAGAAGGCTAGAAAGGAAACAAATGAAAACAACGAAATGGAGACGACACGAATGATTTTGCAACGAAATACCATCAAACATGAAACATGGTTTCCATGCATGGATGGATGGTGGACCATGGACAACCTCGCAAATTGCTAATGTCCTCACGACTCAGCGTCAAATTGCAAATCTTCCTAAAACTCTTATCCTTGAAGTTATAGGATATGACTTTACAAGGTATGTATAAGATCAAGCATGAATCCCCTTCAACTTCTCCTCCAAGGAAGCAAAGCACGTTGAATACAAAGGCCGTACACCAGCCAGCGCGACGCATCTCTGGAAAAGCCGATACACCCATCTTAAGGTCAATGCGGTATTTCACAAACCACTCAGAATAGTCACTCTTCAACTCTAACACATCAAAATGACTAGTGGGATTTCGATAAAATTCCATTAAGCGTAGACGACCTCCAAACTCCCCAAAATACATTGGCACAATTGAGAGACAAATTGGCATCGGCAATGCAGAGAATTGGTTTCTATTCAAATCATAATATATGGATGCTTGTGAGTGGCAACAAGACCAATGGATCTTACCATTAAAGAAGACACCATTGTGAAAAGTTATCTTCCCTGAGCAAGCAAATGAAGCGTCGGAAAACATCCAAATCCGAGTTTCCGACGAATATACCGCAATTTGACAATTATGGTCGGGCCATTGTTTGGAAAGGACAGCAACTATTTTGTAGCGAAGTGAAACAGCGGGATCAAATGCCAAGTTGATAGAAGCTATGAAGTATCTATCATCCCCATTTGTAGGCCTAGGAATGGTGGTAAATTCCTTGGTGGTAGGGTTAACAACATAGTAACGAGGTGAATTAGGATATAAATCAGAAAAACACGTAGAACAGAGCAACAAGCCCTTACAAGACTGTGAAATTTTGACACGGTCATCTACGTACTTGAATGATTCAAGCTTCTTGTTCTTGTTCACAAAACCAGCGTGATATATGTGATTGAACTTGATAATACGGGAAGACGGAGAGAAGTACCTGAGGAGAAAAAAAGAGGACGCTGAAATTGGAGGGATCCAATTGTCAAGGACGAAAGGATCGGAAATCAAAGAGCACCAACTCTTGGATACGAGCTTGAATGTGATGAGGGGCTTTGCTGGTAGCCGTATGAGGATCTTCCCGAGGAGATCGTCATCTCCGATCACCTTCTCGGCGGAGCTGATGGTGACGGTGTTCTTGAGGCGGCGACGGCGTTGGCCAGAGGAAGACATGGCGGCGGCGGCAGTGGTTGAGGTGAGTGATCTAGGGTTAGGGCTGGTGGTGATGATATAGGGAGGGGGGAGAGAGGTTGTGGTTCCATAGCAATTCAATTCGTCAGTATTCTCCGATCTGGCAATGCAATGCAAACGCTCAGATACATTAATTACATTTTTCTTAACAAAAATAATTGATATAAACTTGTCCCCCATAATATTGTTTTGTTTGCAATAATCTAAATAATTGTATTTTTTAATTTTTTATTAAAAAAAATATCCAGAAAAAAAAAAAGAAAAAAAAAAGATGTTATGACCTTAAAAAGATACTAAAAGAATAAAAAGTGTACATTTTTAATACACCCCAAACAAATACTCATAGGTGTGGGATCCATTACGGCCATATGAGTGTTTGGTAATTTATTTGAGGAGAAAAATCCTCTCCAATTTAGATTTTAGACTGGTTTGGGCCTTTGGGTCATTGCGGATTCCGTTTAGATTTTAAAAAATATATTTATTTAGATCATTTTAAAAAAAATTTAGTTTCAATTTTTTAAATTTAATTTATGAAAATTAAATTTTTTATTTTTACTAAATTTTTTTAATATGTTAAATAATTTTTTTTATTTTTTAAATATATTTAATCTTGATGTACTTAAAAAATAAAATAATATTAAAAATATCAAAAAATACATAAGAATATGAAAATGTACTGAATTATATATATACATATATATTGTATATTTAGTATTTAGTGAATTTTTTTTTATAAAAAAATTACAAATATTATATTTTTAATTGTATTTTATATTAAGTGTATGTAAAAAGTAAAAAATGTGCTTAAAATATTTTAAAAAATCAAAAAAAATAAAAAACTCACTTGTAAAAAATTAAATTCAAAAAATTAAACTCAATTTATTTGTTTTAAATTGACTGATTTGAAAAAAAAATTATAACATAAATAAATTATCAAATATTTTACGAGTAATGCTAGAGATTTCAAAAATTCTATCAAAAGTTTTACTAAATGTCTCATATGGGTGTGAGACCCACACGGGATCCACATTGTGTGGGTCTCACACCCATGTAAGACATTTGGTAAAAATTTTGATAAAATTTTTAAAATTTCTAACACTATTGATATTTTACACAATGTGAGATAGGGCACATGGGATCCACACTCACATGGAACCACATTAGCCTTATATAATTCATTGGGGATATGATATTTAACATTTCTATTTGAGTATTTAATAAAATATTTAATAATTCATTTAGGTCAAATATCTCAAATTAATTGTCAAATATTTGTTTAGTTGTAGGACCCACATTACATAGGGTGAGACCCATACCATATAAGTCCCACGCCATGTTAGTATTTGATAATTCATTTGGGGTCATTAATATTTTTATATTTTTCCTCTCCAAATGTTACATATATTATCAAATATTCTATTAAACACTTATATAGTAGGAGACTTATATATATTTCATCCACACTCATACGAGTATTAAATAGAATATTTGATAATTCATTTGAAATCCTAATATTGTTAAAACAACAACAACAACAACAACAACAACAATAACAACAACAACAACAACAATAATAATAATAATAATAATAATAAATGCATTTTTTATATATAAATGTCACTTGTTTGGATAAATAATTAAATAAAAAATTGAGAAAAGCATTTTGGGGCAATGATCAATAAATCCTAAAAGATGGACATGTGGACTAATTTAGTCTCATATTTATTTTATAAACACGCAGAACTCCTATTTTAAATATTTTCAAAAATGGTGAAATTGAGAGAGAAAACTAACTAAATATTAATTTGTTATAATATTTAGGAGTACAATTTGGGCGGATTCTAACAGGTTGAGAGATTATTCAAACTCAGCCCAAGTTGTGCTGAGAACTGCTCAAACTTGTCCAAGCCTAACTCGAGTTAGACCCGAATTTTACATAAATTTTATTTTATTTTTCTTTTTTAGTGCAGTTAAGTTAATTAATTTGTTGAATTAGACTGTATTTATAATTTTTTTTACAAAATCATTAATAATATTAAAATAAATAATTTATATAATGTAAAAGAGATGCTGTGAAGATGATCTTTACAATTTATGAGTAAGAAAAAAAGCTGTGAAGATGATCTTTACAATTTATGAGTAAGAAAAAAAATAAATAAAATTTTATATTGTATTACTTGTGTATATAATATATTCGATAAGATCTAACTATCTAAATTATTTAAATATCATCCAATGATAAATAATTTATATGTATATTTAATATTTTTATATAGTTATATATTTAATTCGGGTTTCGAGTTAGGACTGAGCAAGTAATCCATAAAATTCATAATCCAATCCAGTCCAGTCCAATCTAGTAGGTTTAGATTGATTTTTTAAATCCGTGGTTCGGTTTTGTAAACACCCCATTTTTGACCGCCCTTAAGACTTAGGCACTACTGATGGTTTACTTGGTGGTGAAAGTTGTGCAGTGCAAAGGTTCGATTTCTTTGGCAAAGAGAGAGTCAAATCCCAACCTTACACCCCATTTTGAATGGTTTTTAGACCTTAAAACCCTCTCTTTCAAAATATTTTTAAAAAATGATTCTACGATGTTCCGACGCTCGCATTTTGTTAAATGTTGCGCTTTTCGGTAAACCGAGTAAGGACAACGTGGAAATGAATGAAAGAGAGATGAAATCTTTGAAAAATCTTTCAAAACACCTTGTTTAGGGGTTCGGAGTTGAAGAAAAGAGGAAATGAGAGAAGAAAACTAGTTTGGGAGAAGTTGGCATTAATTCGGGAAGGATCGAAACTGAGCGGCTTCACCAAAACAGGCATAACTTTTTTCACAGTTAGATTTTTGATACAAGGCTGCCACCATTGGAAATATTACTTCTGGGGTTTCAATTTGGACACAAGAATGACCTGAAAAGGAGCCCAGATGAAGGAGTTATGGCCATTTGAAGTTGGACCTGGAAAGCAGAATTTTCCTGCCGACCAGAAGAACAGGCTGGCCGACCAGAAAATTGGTTTGCAGGTCCCAAACTCAGATTTTTCGAAAATCTTTTCCCTCCAGCTGTTATGCATTGCTCCAGATATTTCCAAACTCAAATATTTTGAACCAACTCTTGTATATTGCTACATATGAGGCTTTTCACTCATTTTGCAAGGCAAAGAAAGATTGAAGCAATTTTGGGAGCCTCTCTCTCTAAAAAAGTTCTCTCTATCTAGAAATTCCAGAGCTAAAATTCATCTTTTCTTTCTAGTTGGCTCTCTGTCACGACCCAAACCCGCCCTTATGGGTTTAGCATCGCAACCGGCCAGTAATCCATGATTACCGAAGGCCTGCTTAACAGTAATGACAGTAATACAAAGTAAAGGGGCTGGCGGAAGCCAAACAGTAAATAAAAGATGTCCAATGAGCTACGAAGACCTAAATGCAAAAAGACTTTTATAAACAAGCCACATTCATAATCAAAACATATATACATACGTCATAAACACAAACATCCATGTTAGGGACCAAATCCCTAACTATAACTGTGCAGTCTAGCCTTAAACACTTATTACAAATCAGAGACAAAATGGTGAAACTGAGACACCCCAAAACAGTCGTGGCTTGAACGGACTCGGAACCTCGAGGTGAGGCATGGTGGTTGGCTTGACAAAACAAGAGCTTAACTTGACGCTCCTAGCATCGGTCCGGTTCCTGGGCACTTACATATAAATATAAATATAAACAATGAGCTAAAGCCCAGTGAATAACATATGCGTAAAGGGGTTAAGAATGAATGTCCTTTCATTAATTAAAACAGTCATTTGCATCAGTAAATCAATTATTCGATCCGTGGCTCATATTTCATACCATATCAGTCATTTAAAATTCATAACAGTCATACGTGGTACGTCTAACAGCGAAACAGTACAGTAGGTCTTAATAGACCGAACAGTCAGTTGATGGCCATCATAATAGTAAACAGTAGTAGTTCCAAACATGGGAACTGATAGAGATCTCTATAACAGTAGCAGTAACAGTACAGTAATAGTAAGTTGCTATGGATGCCACAAATATAGTTTACAAATAGGACAAACATTCATTCAGTAAGTAATATCATTCCAGAAAGCGGTACAGTTAATCGTTCAGAAGTAGTTGTAATTGAACATATCTTTACAATATTGTTACTCGCAGAGTACTGGGCTAAAGATAGGCTAGTCAGCATCCTCAGGTGCCAACCCTACACAATTGCAGAACGACCACACACTAAGTTACACATTTGGGATTAATAACTTAGCCCCATAACTCGACTCGGTGTGGTTCTATAACATTATCCTCATTAAGATGCCTTAAACTTGGCCTAAGAATGCCTAGGATGGAATGAGGAAACAAAAATGCTCTTTAAAACACTTTTCAAAATTTGCTAAAAACAGGAGTCTCGCTCAAGTGTGGTTTTCTACGCTCGAGCGAGCTTACCAAAACAGAGGGGTCGCTCGAGCGTGGACTTCCTCGTTCGAGCGGTCTGTAAAAATGCAAAAAGTACTGGATGTTGAAAATCCCCGCTCGATGCTCGCTCAAGCGTGAGACATAGCTCTTCGCTCGAGCGTAGGTCTCGTCGCTTGAGCGTGCGTCTGCGTGCACCAAAAACCTGAGAGCTTGCAATCTACGCTTGAGCAGAACTCTGAACAAAAGATGGTCGCTCGAGCGTGGAAGCCAAAATCTGGAATTTCCAAATTTGCCTCCAAAGCTCAAACCAAGCATTACACTCACCAAAACTCGACCTTTTGGGCTCATTTTCTGGAAAACACTTGGAAACTCTTACCACAACATGTTTTGAAGATCAATTTTGTAAAATCAAGCCCAAAGGTGAGACAATTGAACACAATTTCAAAGAAACTTTCATGAACTATATAAGAACATAACATGCATGAGCTCCTATGGATTCCAATGCTCCAAAACATAACCAAATGCATGTTTGAACTCTAAAACATGGTGAATCCATGGACTACAACCAAAATATGGACATGCATGTGGAAATTCATGAAAAACAACCTCAAAATTCAAGAATATGTACATGCATGCATGAATTAATTCTTGATTCAACTCTTTAAATTAATTCTTGACTATAAACTCCAAATTTCCATGAACCACGCATGAAACAACTTAAATTCAAAATTGAAAGGGTGAATCTCCTACCTTA